TTAACCAATTCTCACAAGACGTTTTTTGCCACATACTTTCTTCTTTGGCTAATAAAGACTAAAGCTGAGATATTACTTTATCTTCTTCCAAGGCAATTGAAGGATCCCCTGGATTAACATCAATGACCTCTTGCAATTGCGAAAGCTTCATCCTTAGATCCCTTATCTGTAGGCCAATATTAGCAAAGGATATTTTGTTCCTTCTAGAAGTCTCTGCACACAACTTCTTAAGCTTAGCCATAATCCTGTACATTGGATATCCGCCAACCCTACCCAGCCATGAATGCTTGATCAGGTTCATAAAATCCGGGGCCCCCTCCCACATAGAAAAATAATGGAAGTGTTTAGGTTTAGAAGGAGGTAGAAAAGAAGGTGAAACTAAAAGGGGAGAATGATTTGAAGTTCCCTTCGACAATAACTCCACTTTAGCATCATGCATAGATAACATCCAGTCTGTATTAGCCAAAGCTTTGTCAAGCCGCACATGAATACATTGGGGTCCCACATTACTATTTGACCAAGAAAACCAACAACGAGAATAACCAAAATCTACAAGTTGACAATCTGCTAACACCCTTGTAAAGTTCCCGGCATCTGCACTGATTTCCTCCCTGCCCCTGTACTTCTAAGATCCTTCTAGGCTAGAATTAAAGTCACCCATCATCTGCTAAGGACCTGAATAAGTACTTTTTAAATACTGAGGAAGATCCTATAGTATCGCTCTTTTTAATACAGAATTCCTCCCACACACACCTATGATAAAAAAAGGCAACTATTGTGCTCGGTCTGTGTACCTCAGTAGTAATTGATTGGTCATGAATAAAAATGGCATTTACCACACACATTTTAGGATTCCATGTCATCATTATTCTGGTTCTCCCATCCCGCTTATTATTAATCACAAAAAAATGGTAAAAACCAATCTTTTTAGACCATCTAGCAGCTGATTGGGATTTCGTCCTTGTTTTCAATAAAAAACCTAAGCTAGAATGATATTTTAGAATGAGATTTCTGATATCAGATTCTTTTCTAGTTGTATTTATACCTCTAACATTCCAAGCAATTATAGATATAGGATAATTTAAGAAGTATTTGATAACCTGGGTGGGAATTACTCCCTCTTTATACACAACACTTTGACTTTGATTTCGTAACTCTCTTTGTTTCCGTTTTGGTTTTGTGCTGCATACATTGCTGCCAACTCGCTTCGACTTTGGGACCAATACTCTTGTCGGCCTTAAATTGAGCTTTAGTAGAATTCACAGGTATCAACGCCACGTGTCTGCTTCTAGGCCACTAATAGTTGGATTGACCGCAAGCAGGTCCTCGTCAATTCCATCTCCTTTGCTTCTCTCTTCGCACCGTCAACCAATGCCTCATTCACCAGACCATCTACAGTTCATGCCAACTTAGTTTGCACCGTTATCCTGGAAGAACTTGAAGTTCCTTCTTTCATCGAACCATTCTCACCCTCTACTGAAATTTTGCTGATAAATTGTTCACTCAATTGTTTCGTTTTCAGTTTATCCCATCCTATTCCACAAGAACCCGCCCTTCCCTATTATCTGGGCCCTTACCATCATCTGGAATAGTATCCATCTCCTCACTATCTTCCAAAAAGTTAGTAACTCCTTGAATAGGATTACCCTCCAAACAAGATAATTGAGCTTCCAAATTGATGTTTGCATCCAATGCCTCTAGCCTTTCATTAATGCCCATGACAATTAATTTGGTTTACTATCATTAGTTACCTCCATAGAATTTTTGGTGGCTTTCCCATTCAAATGGACTGCCTCTTAACTTTTCAAAACTTGTTGCAAAGGGATAGCCGTGTACTCCTCCAAAATAGAAGATGACATTTACCATCTCAATGGATTTATCAAGTAAAGATATGACTCTCTCTAAGCATGCAACGTTTTCCATTCATTTTCTACCAAAATTTCAGCCCTTTCTTACCCATTGTTATCATCATCAAGTGTTTCCACGAGACCTTCAAGTTCACCATCAGAGGTATCCATGTGATCATCTGAGGGATGCTTTAACAGAAGAAATAAACTCTTAAAAGAAAAAATGCTGGCGGTGGAAACCGACGAAATAAATTTTTAAAAGCAAAAAAAGCTAGTGGCGGAATCAACAAAATGAATTCTTAAAAGAAAAACGAAATAAATTCTTAAAAGAAAAAACACTTGAACTAAAGGAATGAATTCTTAAAAGAAAAACACTGGCGAAAAAACGCTGGCGGTGAAACCATCGAAATAAATTCTTAAAAGAAAAAACGTTTGAACCAAAGAAATGAGCTCTTAAAAGAAAAAAACATTGGTGACAGAACCAACGAAATAAATTTTGGAGGCGGAATCAATGAAATGAATTCTTAAAAGAAAAAACATTGGAGGCGGAACCAACGAAATGAATTCTTAAAACCAACGAAATGAATTCTTAAAAGAAAAAACGCTGGCGGGGGAACCAACTAAATGAATTCTTAAAAAAAAACGTTCGCGGCGAGATTCAAACCATGATTCATATAAAACTTAATTTTCAAAACGAGCCACTAAACAATTCTAATATATCTAATATGATTTTGAAATAGTATTGTACTTACAGTTTAAAGTACTGGTTGATCACCAAAACCGCCCAAAACCAGAACCGGCCGTGGCTGGTTTCGATCTAACCGGGCAATTAGTGGTTAGATCGGCCAGTTTTGTGAAAACTGATTATACTAGTATCTTTAAAATTCCAATATTGTTCTTGATTGGTTGGAATCAATGGTTTAAAAAACGGATCGGTGACCCGGATCGGGTACCCAAAAAACCGATCCGGATCGGCGAATCGGCGATCCGGATCGAGAATCGGGTGAATCGGTCAAAATAAAGCTTAAAAAAAATCCGAAAAAATTATTAAAATTCATTATAAATATTGTTTTTTAGGAATTCAATAAGAAACGAGGGTACTCCATTAAGAATTTTCATGTTTTTGAATGAATATGCGAATATTGATATGTTCTTTCCCTGCATGAACCGCCATTCAGCATTTAATTTACATCACACAAAAGGATAAACACAGGATTATCATGGAATAAGTATATCAACATACATGGACTACAATAAAGCATAAAATTAGTAACATATGATCTAAAAATAAAATGATAGACGACGTTATTGTTCTTCTTGGTCACGCTGGTGCCATTGATTGAATTCGTTTAACAATTCATTGATTCGATCTAAAAACGAATCATCGATATTAGCAGGCGTCTGACTATTCTCAAATCCCTGAGTGTTAGTGTTTTGTTGTGTTCTCAATCTAAAATCCCCGAAGCTTGTCCATCCCTCACGCTCACCTGCACTGTCGTGCTCATCCCTACACTGTTGCTGTTGGGACTCAATATGTGAATAATATGGCTGGGATAGGGTGGCCTCAGAATCATCATCTTTCTCATTTTCTCTTTGAACAATATGGATTAAAAAAAAAATTTAACAAATTTTCAAAAAACTCGATCATGGATTAAAAAAAAAATCACAAATTTTCAAAAAATTCTATCATGGATTACAAAAAAAAATTTGATCATGGATTAAAAAAAAAAAATCACAAATTTTCAAAAAATTCTGTCATGGATTACAAAAAAAAATTCGATCATGGATTAAAAAAAAAAATCACAAATTTTCAAAAAATTCAATCATGGATTACAAAAAATTCGATCATGGATTACATAAAATTCGATCATGGATTACATAAAATTCGATCATGGATTACAAAAAAAAACAAACAAAAAAAACAAACAAAAAAAACAAAAAATTCAATCGTGGATTACAAAAAAAGAAAAAAACAATTTGATCATGGATTACAAAAAATTCAATCATGGATTACAAAAAACCCTATGATGGGTTA